CCCCCCCCCCCCCCCCCCCACCCCCCAACCACAACAGGGGGGGGGGGGGGGGGGTGTCTCTTCTGAGCCTCTTGCCCCACTCACTATCCAGCTGTGGGCTATGCTGTCTCTTAGCTCTTAGCCTTGGTAGCATCTCTTTGCCCAGTCTCCCAAGGTCTTTCCCACATACCATTACAGCGGGTGGGGGAGTTGAAGTGCCCTTATGGTCATAAGTATGGGCGGGCTGCCAAGTGCCCAAATTTTGATCACATGACTGCAGGAGTGCTGCAATGGCTGTAACTTTGGGGACTTGGCATAAGTATCATTCATTCAGCATTGCTGTAACTTCAAACAGTCGCTGAACAAATGGTCGTAACTCAAGGACTACCTGTACTATAGTACTGTCCATTAACTATTCTTTGTAAAGGCCAGAAACAGCTAAACAGACACTCATTGCTATAGTTCAGAATATATTACCAGGAAAGTATGTGAACATTTCCTATGGAAACTCATAAAACTATATGAGCCTGGTTTGGTTAAAGGCAACAGTGAGACTGAAGAAGTGAACATTTGTACTACAAGCAATTTTTACAAACATTTTTCAGAATCAGCTCCAGCTTTCTTTTTAAAAAGTATAATTTATTCTGTACACAGTATGAATTTATGATTTGCAAACATTTCTCTTATAAGAGGAATAGCTAATTAGCAATCTGTGGCAAGATTACCCTCATCCAAGCAAATTTATTTGGCCACCAGCAGCTCAACCAAATTGCAATCAAGGTATGATAAACAAAAACAAAATTATTATTTCATTTATAAGGCAAATGAGAAATCAACATCTGTTCCTTTTTTCTCAGTTTCCTGGTGTATAGCAACAACTATTTTTCTTTTTCTGTCCTGTTGTTCAGTATAAATGTTTACTTTCATGCTTATGGGAAGATTCCTAGATGTATATTTTCACATTTCAACTCAATTTCTAAATGAGCTTCCCTGAACCAAACAAACAAAAATGATTTAGGGTAATATTGGTCAATTTTATATTTTTTGTTTGCCATATAATAGATTCGAGGGCCAGAACTCTCCAATCCCTTTTAGGATTAATCATGAAATTAATGAAATGATAATTAACTAGCAATAATATGCTTGAATAACATACGATCATGGAGAATGGAGGATAATTCTCTCTCTTTTTCCCCATAGTAAAACTGATCTTGCCTTGTAATTGATATATTTACTTTCTATACCATGAATTTATGACATCAACATCATTACTAGTTATACAGAACTCACAATATACTTGTAATCCTTGCATTTAGGAAATCAAATAAATCTAAAAAGTTGTATTACAGGCTTTCATAAAGCTAAGCCTTAACATTGCAAACCAGTGTCCATTCATAAAACAACTGTTGATGAGGCTCCTCCAAAAGTTCATCACGTTTATACCACTTATAATTAGGATACTTTATTTTTATCTTGGACAGAGGTGGGCAACTAGTGCCCTGGAACCACATATATTCCCGACTCTCTCCCTCTTTGTACTCGAGCCCCTTTCAATCATAAGTGCTGGAAACTGAATCCACAGTTTTCACTATTTTGAGGTGAGAATCAGATTAAACATAGGGTAAATCTTCATGCATATCATACTTCCATGCATACATGTGCAACACTGTTGGAGAGGAAGATTTCAAACCTTCCAGCAAACAGTATCACTTCTAATAGCAGCAACAACCCCAGCAATGTTATCTCCATATCTTCCCACCACTCTTAATATGTACCCTACCTTTCTTAACTCCACCACTACTGCTAATATTATTAAATGCAGCTGCTCAGAATATTAACAGCTAATGCGTTGGGTGCTCTTAAAAATTTATGGAGTCCTTTCAGAGATCAATAGAGGTGAATATGTGTAGCTCAGGGTTGAACTGTGGAGTCCTTGGGGTTCTCTGAGT